AAACACCCATTCCACCTTTCAAAACTGAACCTACAGAAACGGCACCTGGTCGTTGGGAACGCTGGATAAAGCGTTTTGATAATTTCCTCATCGCTAAGGCAATTACCGACGATGTAAGGAAACGGGCCATGTTGCTTCACTTGGGCGGCGACGATGTTTTTGAAATAAGTGAAAGCCATACTCTAGCAGAAGACACGTATGCACAGACAAAAGAAAAACTGTCAGCTTATTTTACTCCAAAGAGGAACATTGAATACGAAATATTTATGTTTAGACAAGCAACACAACATCCCACTGAAGTGCTGGACAAATACCATGCTAGATTGTGCCAGCTGGCAAAGAACTGTGAATTTCACGACAAGGATGCAGAGATAAAATCACAGATAATTCAGCGATGCCAACTTATCAAAGTCAGGAATAAAGGATTAAGCGAACCAACGCTAACTCTGAAAGAGTTACTTACTTTTGGCCGAACACTGGAAGCAACAAATGTGCAAGCCAAAGCAATGTCTGGAGGTGTGGAAGTTGAGAAACCTATACATAGGATTGAGCATAAACCCCAGCAAAAATACCACCAACCACGTAAACCAAAACGTGAAGGAAAGCAAGGTAGCTATTCATCATCAAGCAAAACACAGCATCAGAGGTTACAAGATAATCGCAAGTGCTCTGGCTGTGGAGGTAATCATGGTGTAGGGAAACGTGATAAATTATGCCCGGCCTGGGGAAAACAATGTCACAAGTGTCAGCGCATGAATCATTTTTCATCTGTATGCAAGGCTACAACTCCGCAACAAGCAGCTAAAACACATTTTGTACAAACCAAATCACCAGCAGAACATGAACTGACTATGCCAACAGATGAGTATGAATTGCCTTTATATAAATCAGATACCATAGGAAGTCATGTTAAACCGTATATGTGTACGGTCACTCTAAATGGCATACCAACAATGATGGAAATTGACACAGGAGCGACGACAAGCTTAATTAGCGAAGCACAATTTAAGCAGATACAAATAGGGAAATTGAACCTATCCCTGATGACTGAAGGGTTACCGAAGCTGCGAACCTATTAAGGAGAAATCATTCAGCCATTGGGCCAGGTGATGGTGGAGGTAGGTCACGAAAACCAAAATTACCATCTTCCACTTTTGATCGTACCGGGTAAAGGTCCAAACCTGCTTGGAAGGGATTGGCTACAACGATTCCAGTTAAATTGGTCAACAGTTCACAGGCTAGAAGGCAATGGATTCAAAGAAATGTTTCCAGAACTTTTCAAAAAGGACCTTGGCACGTTAAAGTATTGTACGGCGAAGTTAAGGATAGACAACGATGTGCAACCTCGTTTCTTCAAGCCAAGGCCTGTG